GGCCCGCGTCTCGTAAAACACGGGGGGGGGGGGGATTGCTTATGGATTAGCATATGGATTGCTTGTCACATTGGCTAGATATGGCTAGGCAGTCTAAATAGAACAAATTATAATCACTAAGTTAAAGGAACTACATTATGTTGCAGTAAATTAGCTTTTGTGGTGTTTAAGCTAGCTAAAGTTCACGCTGACAATCTGAAACTGTTCTCACCAGAAAAACAAGTGAAGATCCTGTTTTCCTGACAGTTGATCTCTTACAGTTTTAGAAAAAAACTATAAATTCAAGTAATCCTCTTTTAACCATTAAGACAATCTTTCCTCAAGATAAACATTTTTGTTGCCTAAACATAGCTATCAGAATGCTTTTATAATCCAAACCAAAAAATCTGTGGAGGGGACCTTTTAGATTGCCCTGGCAAACATAATTTAGGATTTGGGACTAACGAGAGCCACTGAAGCACCAAACGACACATGTCAAAAGTTCCACCTAATGCATCTATATAGGACCTTTATGCCTTAAGCACTGGCATGAAAGGGTAAACCTAAAAAAAATAATGCTGGAACCATGAATACTGCAGTCTGTCTAGTCTGCTGTAACATTTGAAATACAAAAGGAAGAAGCATTTGGTGAGTAGAACAAATGACTCACTCAGTCTCCTACACATGAAATACTGTCTGGCAAAACCGTGAGTCTGTGTGGATTTGTTAATCATCTGTGTTTGTTTCCTTCTTTTGCTCATTTCAGTTCTAGCTCTAATGCGTGCCTGCGCGTGTTAGTTTTCGTATCCTTTCTGAAGGAGGTGAGTAAGCGTTGCTGTCACATGTATGGGATACAAACCTTCGTCTGTTTCAGATAGGCTTAACATTTAGCTGTTTCAAATGGACGCTCCCAGAGGTCAGAGGTTGGTGGTGCCATGGCCAAACTGAGGTGATCTGTCGCAGTGACCCACTCGGCCAGCTATGAGATGGCACAGCAGAGACGACAGGCCTTCATTACTCCAGGCCATACTTAGTATTAGGCTTTGCACCTAGCCTTTTGACTGCACACATCAGAATTACACACTGAATTACTTAATATAGCACTGTATATTAGGGTAAGGGTTGACTTAGTTGCATAGGCAAAGTTATAAGACCAGAGAATACATTACAATACTTTAGTGAGGGTCCTCAAAAACCAAAGTTCAAATGCATGTGTGTTATTGTACATGCTATATAGTGAGGACCAAAAAAGTATTTTTTTGCTACAGAGTAAGGACATTTTTGGCCGGTCTTCACTTTCTAAAACAGCTTTTTGAGGGTTAAGACTTGGTTTTAGGGTTCAGATTAGATTTAGGCTTAGGTTAGGGTTAGGGTTGAGCATTATGTCAGTGAGCATCCTCACAGAGATTTCCTTTGCACCTAGCAAATTTAGTGTGGCAACATGGTTTAAGGTTAGGGTTAGGCATGGTTAAGGTTAGGATAAGTCTAGAGGAAATGAATGTAAGTCAATGTAAAGCCCCTATATGGAGTGAAAACACAGCATGCTGTGTGTGTTTGTGGTGCACTAGGGCAGTTTGAGAGAGTTTGAGACCCAAGGCAAAAACCATTAGGACACCCCCCTCTGCTGTGCTTTACACAGTCATTACT